AGCAATTACGTGTTTCCCATTTTAAATTCTCTCTCCCCTAAAAGTCCAAATATCTGCTCTATAATTCCATTTGATTATTGGATAATCAACGAAATCCATATTTTTCGTCGTTGGTGCCAATAGCCTGCTGCGGTGGATCGATGGCGGACGATAAGTACAATTGGAAAAACCCGGCGGTGAAGAGGATATTGCAGGAAGTCAGAGAGATGCAATCTAATCCTTCCGAAGATTTCATGAGCCTCCCTCTCGAGGTAATTTTTCTAATTAAAAACAATTTTCAACTGCATTTGATGAATTTCTTATAACTTCTGTAATTACTTCCCATACCGTTCATCGATTTATTGCTGTTCGACAGTTTCTAGTTTGCCTGGATCTGTACGTGAGATATTGGTTGTTGAATTATTAGGAATTATGTTAGAAGCATGGTTCGCAAATTTCTTTTTTCCAGTGATGTCGACTATGTATAGGACTTTGATATTTAGCCCTTGTTTCATCCCCATTATTTTCAAACTTTCGTTTTTTTAAGCACACCTTTTTCAGTAAAATAATTTTACACGCAAATCCCACATTCTGCTTCAATCTATTTATTGGGGATCAAATACGCTCTTAAATTTGGTGTTAGTATCAAAGAAATTTTTTGATCAAACTGATCTTTTTGACTTCTTTTTTCATTTTTCAGATAGTATTTGATTTGATTTGATTATTATTATTATTATTATTATTATTATTATTATTATTATTATTATTATTTGTGGCTTCTTGTGTTGTCTTTTTGCTCATAATTTTAAGTCACATGGATTTCATTAAGTTTTCAGCATCTTTTCTACTGCAGGATTAAAATTTAACTTGACATAATGCTCCATTCTCGATTAAGCTAATTTAATGCATAGCTACCAATCTTGTTCATTCTGAATATTGTATTTTCTGTGCTATCAGAATGAACTCAGGCTTTAAAATCTGCTTTCAGGATAATATATTTGAATGGCAATTTGCCATCAGGGGGCCACAAGACACCGAATTTGAGGGAGGAATCTATCATGGAAGAATCCAACTTCCATCTGATTACCCTTTTAAGCCACCTTCATTTATGCTGTTGACGGTAGTGTATTGATTCCTTGGGAAGATCATATTTTGCATGTAATGTTGTTACCCAAATTATGTGAGAATTTTCTAATGTAATCAAAATGTCATTTTACAGCCTAGTGGTCGCTTTGAGACCCAAACCAAGATATGCTTAAGCATTTCAAATCATCATCCTGAGCACTGGCAACCATCTTGGAGTGGTAAATGTTTTACTCGAGATATTTGTCTTGCAGCTTCCTGTGGTATTGACACAAGTCTGTGTATGTTGAATGTCTGGTGGAAGTGATCTTATATCCATTCAGAGTAGTCTCATCAACCCATGATAGCAATTATGTCTAATTTAAAAACTATTGAAATGAAGTTTTGAAATTTGTACCAGGATAATTTGAAAATATAGCATATCCACGAGGTGCGTGTTCATTGACTATTTTTTAGAAGTAACTAAGTTCGACGTACAATTGGACAATGTAAATAGAGAGTTCTATCTTGATTATGCATTATGATGTCATGCTGGCTGTTTTCACCAGTAAAGTAGTAAAATATAAGCTAGATATAGAGAAGAGTTTGTTGTATACCTCGAAGAGCAGGAGGGAACATGGTTTAGCTCTTGAATGTTCATGTTAGTCTGTTCTAGCTAGCAGACAATCACATAGTTCTAACGATTGCAAACTAATCTGAATCAACCTACAATTGCTTTTGTTAATCTCTTTGCAGCTCTTAGTTCACGCTGCCGTTGTCATTGCCAACAGCCAATGACTGTCACGTGAACATACATATGTTGGTTTGATATTGATATTAAAAAGTTATAACACCTCATCTATGGATGATGTTTGCAGTTCGGACTGCTTTGGTAGCATTAATTGCATTTATGCCCACCAACCCAAATGGTGCACTGGGATCATTAGACTATACAAAAGAAGAGAGGCGAACTCTGGCAATTAAATCTCGTGAAGCTGCTCCAAAGTTTGGGTCTCCTGAACGCCAAAAGCTGATTGACGAGGTTTGTTGTGTGCTACCGATCCAGTTATATACATTATTTAGGATCGAAATAATAATGGTCTTTGCAGATTCATGAATATATGCTGAGCAAAGCAAACCCCATTCATCAAGGCATACAGGGTTCTGAAGTACAGGACATCAATGAAGAGAATGAAATTCAGGCAAGTCCTCAAAATGCTGCATTGGATGGTACTGAGGAAGAGCTTCCAAATCCAGTTGTAGAAGACGAGATTGTTGAAGAAATTGCTGAAGAACCAAATGATACCCTATCATATGCAAATGTTGTGCAGACTTCACAGCCAATTCCTGCTATGTCCACAAGTGAACTTAAGTTTTATAAGCCCGAACCAAGGGTTTCCAAACCAGATCGCTTATTTACATTGGCAGCTTTTGGGCTTACAATGGCCATCGTTTTTCTTCTGTTGAAGAAGTTCATGAAATCTAATGGATATGGAGCAGTTTTCATGGACAAGTCCTGAGTGAAAAAATAGTGGTTGAGTACCAATGGAAATGTAAAACTAGAAACATCCGTGTTACGTTAATAACTTGTGCTTTTCCTATTTTAAATACCTGATTGAGTGAAATAATGTACAAAAGGAACGAGTAGTGATATGTTTTGGAACTCTATAAAGAACTATTTTTTTTTTCATTTTTAGGTTCTCAATCATTACTAAGTGGAATTTTATTCCTAGCATCCATTGCCAACATAATGGATGAACTCTGCATTTCATAAGGAGTGTTAAGATTCCAAAAGAAGAACACGTCTTTTTATTCAGCTCAAGATTACAAGAATTGCAAATGTTCTGTAACCAAAATAACTTCCTTTAATGCTACTATGTTGTGTTGCAACGTAATTTGGTGTTACATAGCATTATTTGAATATAAATCAGTGCCATCCGGGAATACGCTTAGATCCATGCTTTTCACAACAGTAACAGGACAAGAAGCATTGTTCACTACATAGTTGCTCACGCTTCCCATAATTTACCCTGCAAAAATTCATAGGCAGTTAGTTCTTGAGACACCCACAGCGGATTATTTATTTATTATTTTATTTTATTTTATTTTATTTTATTTTGTTTTGTTATTTATTTAATTTTTTTTTTGTTTTGCAAGAATCAAACCTTTGGAGTGTGCCTAGCCCTCTGTTTCCCATAATAAGGAAGTCAAGAGGAATGTTATCGATTAATTCACATAGCTTCTCTCGAGCATCTCCCCCAAAAGATTTTCATGAGCACTGTGATCTGATGGGGAAAGAACAAAACCATTACTGTCATTTGACAATTAAAAGTTAAAAACCAGATGAATAGGCTTCTAATACCTCTTTCTGTCTGGATTAACACCGTATTTCTTCATGATAAGGGGATCCGACAACTTATTTAAAGGAATCAAAGCTAACAAAATCAAGGAAACAAATTGATTAATTAACTACATGACATGACACCAGTGATCAGTACAATCTGATGCGTGATCATATGTAAAAATGTTGAAAAAATAAATAAATAATGTCATGATCCGGTGGTAACCCAAAGCAGCATTTCGCCTTTCTCGTAATTGGTTTCGGGGCGTATAGTGACAAGAATAAGGTGATCTCCTTTACGAACAACGTTGTCAACTACCCATTGCAGTGCCTTCTTGCTGCATGCTGAGAAATCCGCAGCCACTCCCACTCTTCTGCAATCTCCCATTTCTCTCTCTCTCTCTCTCTCTCTCTGAATGTAGAAAATGTTGTGTTTGCCTGAGTGAGATAGACAGACCAAAATAAATAAATGCAAGAGATCATGAGTAGCATGGAATAAATATCGGAGTTAATCTTGCGGAGAGGAAAAATGACTATAACAAGTAAACACTATTAATTTGGACGGTGAATAGTTACTGAATTGTCGAATTTGATTCTGATTTAAATAATAGTTTCATCCCAAGTATTTCTTTCTTTTCTTTACTTTTATCAATTATTACGCAGGGCCTTGGAGATTTTATCGACCTTTAAATGACATATTTCATCATTTTTTATCAAAATCTGTTAATGTGATGTTAAGTGATAAGTTAAATGAAAGGTGAAAATGACTAATTTAATTGTACTTATTATTTAACTCTACAATAGCACCACATAGACTGAATTATGGGACTAAATAACATTACTATTATCCGAACTTCGTCATACGAGTCATCTACTATATATATCTAGCTTCCATCTTATTGTATATAGAGAATGCCGTTGGGAAAATAGACATGCATTATAATCCAATAACATAACTTTTCATGTGACTTACCAAAATTAAATACGTAAAGACAAGACATGCATGAATATAAATTCGTTCAAGGCAAGAGTTGGACTCTTTTTGCTAAAGACGATTATGTCCCGAGTGCTAACAACTTTTCGGCATTCGTCTTCCAAGATAAAACGGCCATGTCCTTCAATAAGAGCACTTCAAATTACGTAAATCAACAAACCTGCTCATGTTTTTGAACCCTCTTTATATGAAACCCGAGTCCAAATAAATGCAAAATTATTTTGAGGTGATAATGCATTGATATGATAATGTAATCATGAAGTGCATAAATTAGTCAAATTCAATCCATATGGGATCTGTATAATTGTTAAAAAGGTTTGTCACACGAATATTGAAATTAATTTCTATACATGAAGAGACACATCTACAATATATTAAAAGTGTGGATTGAGGAGAAACTTTTAAAATACCAATTTTTTCCTTACATATTTAGTTATATGTCAATTCTACCATTATATATTTAATATAGTATTATTGAATATCCATTTAAATGCAATTTTATTAATTAAATTAAAAAATATATTTTTTAATTTCTATAAATGGTTATTTAAGGCCGTCATTTGAGATCCTTAAACAATACCCATTTTTCAATTTCATATTGAATAAATTGAATTAATGCACTTAATAAAAATCCCTTATATTTTTAGCTATTTATCAATTCTACCCTTATATATTTAATATAGTATCATTTAATATAATTTAATTTCATTTAATATCCATTAAGTGTAATACTTATTGTTTTATATTGGAGTACTTAAAAGTTTACATTAATCAAATTAAGTTTGATTACTTAACTTACATTACTTAAATTAAGTTTACCACTTAAAATCTAAGCTCACATATGTAGGTGTAATTTTGTTCTAATTATATAATAAAATATATTAAAGGTTGCATTAATATAATGGTGGATTAGTTAACATATAAAATAATATTTATTATATTTTTAATATGACTATATATGTAGACGAGCTTTGATTTTTAAGTGATTAAACTTAATTTAGTTAACCCAAAATTATGAGTACTCCAATATGAAAAATGAACTCTATACTTAAAAGAGATTACATGAAATCAAATTTTAATTAATCTATCATTAATGCCACCTTTAATATATTATAATATTATTATATTCACACGTGTGTATATATATATATATATATATATATATATATATTATTTATTATTTATATACGTGACATTCACTTCAAATCAACGTTCATCTATTTATATAATTATATTATATATACAAAATGTGAAGATGGACGAGAAATGTTCAATTTATCATTTTGTCATTTTATAACATTGTCAATATTTTCATTCAAAAATTATAAACTTCACGTTTAATTAATTAATAGTTGATGATATAACTATTTAAATAAAAAGGACGATAAATTGGAAAAAAAAAGTGCTTAAATGTGATCAACAGTTAGGAGGAGAAGAATCAATGGTGGGAGAATCAATCTTAAAAACCTTATTAATTACTCATAATAATTAAAAGTTACTTACACTTCCCATATTTATATCTACACACTAAATACAAGATTTGCATCTCAATTAAACATTTTCACTAAATCCAATTATTTAAGTATTAATAAAAATTAATATTATGTGTTCTAAAAAATAATTAATATAATATTGGGTATTTATTATTGCGTGTTCATTTTTATATAAGCATAAGAATTGATGGTAATCATGTTACTTATTATATATAAATATATGAAAAAAAGAAAAATAGTTTTATATCGATACATTTAAATGAAGAATTTTCATTCCTCTATTTGTATTAATCTCATTCAAAAGAAAAGAAAACCTTTTGTTTAAGATTTTTCACTTCGATATCTATTTTGAATGTAATTTTGGTTTTAATTTAAAATAAATGCTATGGATTACTATCACGAGTATGATTAATATGTAATTTTTTGTTCCTAAATATGTTTAGATAATATACTTTTCTTTTAGGTAAAAAAATTTATGGTACAGACAAAATGAGTAATTTTTTTAATTTGAAAATTATTTACTTACCTTTAGTTTACCTATATGTAAACATCTTAAACCTAATCAAATGTACATATTTTAATTTGATTTTTCGTATCTATCTGTACCACAAAATTAGTCGATGCCACCTTCGTAAATAAATCATTACATTTTAATTTTTTCAACAATTATCACTTTATATACGTAATTTTCATAAAACATTTATTCCGCACATAAAATGTGCAACGCACGTACTTACTACTAGTCTATTAAAAAGTAATAACTTTAAAAGTAATGATCTTTCATGTAGAAATACACAACTTTTAACCAAACGATTCTAGAATATTTCATAATATTCTACATAATTTTTCAATAATTCATATATTTAAGCTTAAATTTGACTTAATTTTACTTTCATCAAATAACGATTTCCACTTAAAAATTCATTTAAAAATTGGTCAAAATCAATTTTGGATCCAAAATTCCAACAAATGTAGGTTTCAATTGCCATCAATGAAGTTTCGTCAACTTTATAATTGCTCGCATAAAGCAGGATTTTGTTTCAATTTGCTGATCTAAAAACCCAACCAAAGGTTTGGGTTGGAAAATTTCCATCTCAATGCAGTTGACAAAAGCAAAAGTCATTGTATGATGAACAATAAGAACACTTTAATCCCTTTGATTAAATTAGCAACCCCTTCTCGTAGGTCGTTTACTTCGAATTCAAGACTGGAAAAATATAATTTATATTGTAAATAAATAAATAAAAACGCTACTGCTGTAGACAGTTCCCCTATAGGAGGCTTTCTTCTAATGTGTTAACTCTATTAGGTCGATTGCTTAAGAATACAAGACTGGAAAAATATAATTTCCATTGTAAATGAAAAACAAATATACTACTGCTGTTGAAATTTCCCACGTGCAACGCCAAGACGGTGCTCTAGAGCCCCACTAGCACGTTTGATCTTAGCCATAAGGTGGAGAAAGGTACGATATTTTCTGGAATTGGCTGTCTCTTTTAAAGTCCAGTTTCCTGTCCATTCTTTTTGAAAAGGCGATGTGGGATCTTACTTTTAGTTTTAGTCTCTCATTTTTGTAAACACAGAATAAATACACCATTTTACTGTGATTCATGGGAATCACAGTATATCTCTGTTTTTTATTAGGATTTGCGACTGAAAAGGAGTTGCACTGCTTCGTGCCTGAGACACCAGGAACTTTATATTAATCTAACAATCCGTATAATTACATACGAATAAGAAATAGAAATTTTGAAAAATCAGTATGCGACAAATATAATTATGCATAGTAAACACTAGAATTTTGTAAAGCAGAGGTCATTTTCCTTATGTGTTTGATATTTGAAGATACAAGAGATTGCTGA